CTGTTTGTGCTGCTTAAAACATTCATTGTGGTCTCTGAATGCTTCCATATTTCTTTTAATGTCTGGCCTTAGAGTAGTCTCTGCTCCCCTCTTAATGAAATTTCTTAGAATTAATTAAATAAAATATCCTGTTTCTGGTAGAAGAGACAAAGATGTTTAATTCCGCCCCACTGAAGGGCAGTTCAAGAATAGCCTTTGGTGAATGCTCTGACATTGTAAAACCTGCAGAGGGAAGAAGTGGTTTCTCTTCCTGCTGATTTCATGATGCCCCAGGAAGCATTTTGGGAAATGATGGAAAAGAGGAGTGAGTTTGTGAAGTATTCCCAGCACATGCATTTTTTTGTGCTGAAAAGTCTTGGGGAATTGCAATATACAGATGAGAGTATTGCGTTGTCAGACTAAATTCTACCTCTTCTTTTTACTAATGGACCTCTGTGGGGGACAGCTGAGCCGTAGAGCAAAAAGTATTGAAGTAGAGATTTTCGGAGTTCACTTGAGCTAACAAAATGAATGTATCATGAAAGAGACATCTGCCATGGTACAAGGGACATAGGGAGACATAAATCTTTGGAGCTTTCTGCATAAAGGCAATACCAGGGAAGACCAGGGAATGCATAGAACCCAGACAAAGGCCCATCTGTTTCCGGGAAGGAAAAGAACCCAGATAAGGAGACCCCCTCTGTCTCCAATCATGTCAAGGCTAACAGACATACTCAGATAAGACCCCATAGGACGAAAAGCGCATGCGCAGAGGGGAAAAGTTAAAAAGTTCAATCCAGAGGAAGACTGCGGTCTTCAGCCTCAGAAGACCACCAGGGACGCCCGCAGGACCACCACAGCAAACCATGCATGCCCAGAAGGGCGTGGACCTATTTAGCATGAGAGGGGAAGACAGGCGGGGCCGGGGGTTGAATATGCATAGGAAAGTTGTGTAATGGAACACCTTTGTGAATAAACGTGTGAGAGACGGCAGCTCAGGGCACAAGTTTTTGGAGAGCTATCTCGCTTGTGCCGAGAGCTGACATACATACCCACTTCATAACTACATCGAGTTGTGGAGTCTATTTATTCCACTTAACGCTTCAGTATTACACAGTCAATGTATGGTGTGGACATCTTACACCTGGTGGGCCCGAAGTCCTCAGAACAGCACACAGGACTGTAAAGGAGAAACCAGAAAGAATGTTGTGCTTTGTCTAAAGGAAATCATGCAAGACTGTGGTTGAGCAGTGTTACCAGGAAACATAAATATTGTGGTTATCGCTTTGGCAGTGGAAAATTCTACCCGAAGCTGTAAGAGTATATAAACGGAGCTGTAGAAACTATAATTTGGCTTCTTGCTTGCACCAAGTGAAGTCCTGTCTCTCAATCGCTGTCAGACCTCGGAATTTATTGTGATAAATGGATATAATTAGTGCTAACTGAATTGTAACAATGTAAATATTTTAGAAAACAATTGTTATAAAATAAAAAGGAAAAGTATATGTGATTAGTGTTACAAAGCAGATGGGTCCTTTTCTAAAAGTTACATGTAAAAAACAGGATACAGGATGTAGTATTGAGATAAACAAGATCCCAAAACAGAATCAGCCTTGAGATGAACAAAGCTGGGACAATTCCAGAAAACAGAATCAGCCTTGGAATGAGCAAAGCTGGGATGATTCCAAGTATGGAATCCAAGTTGTGGTTTTATCTATGAAATAATAAGGCCTATTTGGAACATAATGCTTATGTATATAACACAAAGCTTAGTGTGCATGTACAACCTGTAAATGTTATCCAGAGGGCAGAGAGGAAGACAGCAAGCCTCCCTCTGAAAAGACCACTGAAAAGATAGGAGACCCCCTAGCAACCAGTGGAGCATCTGCTATGCAATATAGTGTTGTGGATATCAACAATCAATCAAAATAGGAGATTTACAGAAAAATGTTGATCGAATATGTATTAGCATACGGTATATAAGGTGTGTTTGGATTACTTTGTTTCGTATGTGAGACAGGGTAAGAAGCCCTCCCCTTACCCTGGTCAGTTTTACTTATGCTTGATACAAACCTTAATCATAATTAATCACTGCCAAATTTTTATATGCTTCATTATATATGATATACTTGATTGTATTCATTTATATAAAATTGCTGTTCAATTAAAATTGCTGTAAAATTAAATCTTGTTTATTAGCTAGACATACTGAACTTCATTCATAACACTGTTAAGGGATTTTTGTGGTACTGCAGTGGCCTCTGATGGGAAAATAAAAAAAAAGAAACCAAACTCAGAGTCTGGAGGTTGTTTGTGGACAGGGAGTGAATATTATCATAGAATTGGGACAATCTTGGCTGTATAAGAAATGTGGCATCTGTGGAAAATAAGGAATACCCAGCCTGGCCAGGATAATGTATATATATCTCCCTCAATATGTACAAAACATTCCCTCAGCATAAGAGGAACTTGGGCTGGGGAGGACATGCAGGAAGTGCATGCCTTGCCATTTACTTGCCAGTGGTCAGTTGGTGGGCTGTGACTGTGTCAGAAGAGAATTCATCTCAGAAAAGTCTCCATCAAGTTTAATTTTCTATAAAAGAAAACCTCCAAATGAGCAGAAGATGAGGAAAAGGGAGATGCAGAATGCAGAGGGATGTGGAGAGTGAAAAGAATCGCTGTGTTGTTAATGTTGCCTTTCCTTCCGCAGCATCCTCGCAGCTCTGTGAGCTCTGGTTTGGAAGTGCCCCACCCACTGCCCAGTTTCACCCCCTATGTGGACGAGTCAGCTCAGCCCCAAATGATGTGAGTCTTGAGTTAGAGCTGGGGGGATTGCATTTGGAATTGTCAAAGCTGCTGTCTAAAACTGGGACTTGGTTTTGCCAAGTACTTAAGCCTCTTGAGCTAGAAGAATTTAGAAATCTGTCAGCCTGAAAGCAATTAGTGCTGCAGCTTGATGACAGAGGCTTCAGCAGAGGTTGCATAAGGACATAGGAAATGTTCAGTGCTGCTCATGATGTG